GGGGGGGGGGGGAAGGTGGTGCTGCTGCTGATGCGGGGGGGGATGGTGGTGGGCTGTCATCTGAAACGGAGATTGTGTCTTTGTCTGCTGCTGCAGCAGACTTGCTTTTGCTGCTGCTCTTGCTGCTGCTGCTGCTGCTGCTGCTGCTGCTGCTTTTGCTGCTGCTGCTGCTGCTGCTGTTGTTGTTGTTGCTGCTGTTGCTGGTGTCGTTGTTGATGTTTGCCTCTTCTTCTTCATCCTGTTGCTGCTGCTAGTGTCGTATCGAGAGGGCACCACCATAACAACTCCCAGCAGCAGACTGTCTCCACGCTTTGCTTCAGCTGCTGCAGCAGCGGCAGCTGCTGCTGCAGCTGCAGCACATCTTCAGGGCAGCTACGACACATAGCAGCAAACTCCCCCACTATGCGACGCACCTGCAGCAGCAGCAGCAGCAGCAGCAGCAGCAGCAGCAGCAGCAGCAGCAGCAAGAGCAGCATGAGTGGCAGGTGCGGTAGCAGCAGCAACATGGGTGAGAGGAGTAGCTGCTGCTGCTGCAGCAGCTGCAGCAGAAGCAGAGGAAGCAACAGAAGCAGCAGCAGCAGAGGCAGACAAGATAGAGACAGAAAGAGACAGAAAGAGACAAAAAGAAAGAAACGGAGACAGAGAGAGAGGAGACAGAAGGAGACAGACAGAGACAAAAAAAAGAAACAAGAAGAGACAGAAGAAAGGAGACAAAAGAAAGGAGACAGCTGTAAGGAGATAGCCAAAAGGAGACAAAAGAAGAGACAGGAGGAGACAGAGGAAAGAGACAGAAAAAGAGACAGAAAAAGAGACAGAAGAGACAGGAGACAGAAAAAAGGAGACAGAAAAAAAAACAAAAAAAAAACAAAAAAGAGACAGAAGAGAGGAGACAGAAGAAGGGACAAAAAAAAAGGAGACAAAAGCGACAAAAAAAAACAAAAAGGAGACAAAACAAAAAAAACAAAAAAAAGAAAAAGGAGACAAAAAAAAACAAAAAGGAGACAGAAGAAGAGACAGAAGAAGAGACAAAAGAAAAGAAACAAAAAAACCAAAAAAGCAAAAAGGAGACAGAAGAAAAAAAACAAAAAGGAGACAAAAAAAAACAAAAAAAAAACAAAAAGGAGACAGAGGAGACAAAACAAAAAAAGCAAAAAAAAGAAAAAGGAGACAAAAAAAACAAAAAGGAGACAGAAGAAGAGGCAGAAGAAGAGACAAAAGAAAAGAAACAAAAAAACCAAAAAAACAAAAAGGAGAAAAAAAAAAACAAAAAAAAAACAAAAAGGAGACAGAAGAAGAGGCCGACGTACTAGTCTGTATTCAGGGCGAACATCCGCAAATATATCTGCAGCAGCCTGCAGGAACTGTCTCTTTATTTTGTGTTTTTTCGGCTGCTGCTGCTGCTGCTGCTGCTGCTGCTGCTGCTGCTGCTGTTGCTGCTGCTGCTGCTGCTGCTGCTGGGGCCTTCTTCATCGCTTGTAAATAAAGCAGAGCCGAAGACATCCCCCCAGCAGCTGCTGCTGCCTAGTATTGTAGGATCTATCTCTACATCTGTTGCTGCTGTTCCTGCTGCTGCTGCTGCTGCTGCTGCTGTTGCTGCTGCTGCTGCTCGTGCTGCTGTGAAAGCCTCTATCGCCTCAGGAGAAGCTGGGTGCGGGCACTTCCTCAGCTGCCGCAGCAGCTGGCCCAGCGGCTGCTGCTGCTGCTGCTGCTGCTGCTGCTGCTGCTTGAGCTTGGGGGCGTACCTGTACATACAGTCCACTGCATCCTAAACCCTAAACCCTAAACCCTAAACCCTAGGGCTTGTGCAGCTACTCAGCAGAAGGGAGGAGTAAGAAGACAAGCAGCAGCAGCAGCTCCTCTTGAAGAGGTCTCTCTGGGATCAAACCCTAAACCCTAAACCCTAAACCCTAAACCCTAATCCCTTTTTTTTTCATAGCGTAAACCCTAAACCCTTAACCCCAAACTCTAAACCCTAAACCCTAAACCCTAATCCCCCTTTTTTTCACAGCGTAAACCCTAACCCCTTAACCCCAAACCCTAAACCCTAAACCCCAAACCCTAAACCCTAAACCCCAAACCCTAAACCCTAAACCCTAAACCCCAAACCCTAAACCCTAAACCCCAAACCCTAAACCCTAAACGCCAAACCCTGAACCCCAAACCCCAAACCCTAAACCCTAAACCCTAAACCCTAAACCCTAAACCCTCACCTTCTTCTTCTCTTTTGTAAGCTCAAGCTTCTCCCGAATTCATCGAAGCGCTCCGGCAGCAAGCGGCCTATATCCGCCAGGCGGCGCTGCGTGCTGCACGAAAACCCTAAACCCTAAACCCTAAACCCTAAACCCTAAACCCTAGACCCTAAACCCTAGACCCTAGAGTGCAGTTAAGGTGGCGACAGCAAGAGGATCTAAGCCTAGTGTTGATGCAGAGCTGACAAGGGTTTGGTCTCCGCAAGGGTTTAGGGTTTAGGGTTTAGGGTTTAGGGTTTAGGGTTTGTGTTACGTTCGCTCTGCCTCGTCTTTCTCAAGCGCCTGCAGGGCCTCCACAGCCATCTTCACTGCGGGTTTCTTCTCGTCTGCACAAACCCTAAACCCTAAACCCTAAACCCTAAACCCTAAACCCTAAACCCTAGATTCTAAACCCTAGAGGGAAAAAGGGGGTTGCGTGGAGAGAAGAATATCTCTCAAACAAAGTTTAGGGTTTTGCTTTGCTGGCGACTAAGCCGAGGGTTTAGGGTGAAGTGCTAGCAATTCAGGATTAGGGTTTAGGGTTTAGGGTTTAGAGCTGTAGCTCGTGTTGAGGGTTTAGGGTTTAGGGTTTAGGGTTTAGGGTTTACGAATGCAGCCGCTGAGGTCCTCAATGTACATTAAAAATTCCTGCAGTCTCTGCAGCCGTCTCTCCGTTTCTGAAGGCAACACCAAACCCTAAACCCTAAACCCTAAACCCTAAACCCTAAACCCTAACCCTAAACCCTAAACCCTCAACACGAGCTCTAGCTCCAAACCCTAAACCCTAAACCCTAAACCCTAAACCCGGCCTCTAAACCCTCAACATTCATTCCCCATTCTCCTGAGACAGCCAACCTTCGCACCCTAAACCCTAAACCCTAAACCCCAAACCCTAAACCCTAAACCCTAAACCCTAAACCCTCAAGTCTTACTAAGTTGTTTGACTTCGAGTGCTGCCATTCGTGTTGCTGCTGCTTTCTTACAATCTATTTGCTGCTGCTTCTGCTGCTGCTTCTGCTGCTGCAACTCTGCCTGTGTCTGTGCCTGTTCCTGAATCCAAGCAACTGCTGCTGCTGCCTGCTGCTCTGCGCTGTTGCTGCTGCTGCTGCTGCTGCTGCTGCTGCTGCTGCTGATGCTGCTGCTGCTGGCCCATAGCTGAGCGAAG